ACCCAGGATTGAGCCTTGCGGTACACCGGAATTAATTTTCCTGTGTTTCTCCACATTGCACTTGTTGGTACCTGTTTGATAAATACGCTTCCATAAACTTAAGCGAAGTAGAGTTGAAACCAAAATAGTACTTCAATTTTGCAAGAAGAATGTCATGCTTTACGGTATCAAAGGCTTTAGGAAAATCTAATAGCACCAGGATAGTGAGTAGTTTGTCATCATAAGCAGGACGAATATCTTCCATTACCTTCAAAACCGCTGTAGAACAACTGTGACTTGACCGAAAACCAGATTGGACCTCACTCAACAAGTTATGATTATTCAAATGTAGAACTATCTGGGACGAAATAAATGTTTCAAAAACTTTGGCTAAAACAGGTAAAATTCTAATAGGCCTATAGTTTTCGGGAGAGTCACAAGACTCGCCTTTGGGAACAGGAATAATATTTGCAATCTTCCAAAGGTTTGGAAAGGAGGATGATGTTAAGGCAAAATTAAAGATATGTGTAAGTGTCGGAAGAATGTAAGGGATAATCAGCTTAAGGAAACGTAGACTGATACCATCTATACCAGTAGCATTTGACTTGCTAGCAAAAATATTGTTTACAACATCGTCCTCACTGGCCGTATTAAAAGAAAATTCACATGAGGGTTTGCAAACCAAATTTTGATTAAAACTGAACGAGTGCGAATTCGTAAGTTTATTATTGGCGCCAATGAAATAATGGTTAATCTCATCCGCACCAAGACCGCAAGGTTTTGAATCTTTATTACAGACTCCCATAGATTTCAAATTTTTCCACAATGTTCTGGAGGGTAATTTTGTATCAAGCTTATTTTCCAGATAGACTCTTTTACTGTAACGTATTTCTTTAGCTACTTTATTTCTCAAATTTTTATATGCATTCCAACACTCGTCTGAAGGATATTGCTTCCAATATTTATAGGCCTTACTTCGATCCTTAATAAGATTAAGAATGTGCTTAGTGAACCACGGTCTCTTATAATTATTCACTTTTATAGTACGTAGAGGGACATATTTATCATACAAGTATTTTACCAGTTTATTAAATTGATCTAATTTATCATCCAAATTCGAGAAGAACCAGCAAGAGTTCCATTCCAGTGATATACTTTCGTCACTCAGTGGTGTTTTATCAATACATTTAAAATCTCTGAACGTCAGGTTGGTAACTGACAATTCTTTGTTAAATTCAATATTAAAAGATAAAAATACTAGTTTATGGTCAGAGACTCCATCTAAGGAAAATTGGTCTACATCGCTTACACCAAAGAGATCTATCATGCTTGGCTTACAGTGTGGAGCAAAACGTGTTGCAAATTCGTTTACGACAGTTAATCCACAATTGGTAAAGTTTTTTAGTAATTGCCTACATTTAACATTATCCAGGAGAAGATCGACATTAAAATCACCACAGACGAGGACATTTACATAGCTCAAGGACAGTTCAGATATTTTTGAAAAAATAGTGGTAAAGTCATTAGACCTATGGGGATTATATACACATATTACAAGACACCGTTGAACATTATCACTAAACTCTATAAAAAGACTTTCAATTGTTTCAGGGCAGACAGATTTATGAACGACTTTACATTTAAGACTGGATTTGAAATAAATGGCAATGCCACCCCCTCTATGACCAGTGGACCTATCATTCCTTAACAGAGAAAAATCACAAAGAGCATAAGCAGAGTTAGCAATACAAGGTTTGAACCATGTCTCAGTTACACAGACCACATCAATATTTATTTCCCGTAACAAAAAGTTTAAATATTCAAGTTTATCAGTCGATAAACTTCGAGCATTAAAGTGGCAAATATTGAACCCATTATTATATTCGCACGTAAATTTCAGAGCTAGCCTAATATTATTACTGCTAGTGTATCTACACAAGGTACTAGTCATATGGATCACAGTTTGGGAGGCTTGCGAAACAGTCAGCTGCAGAGTACAAATAGAAGGAAAGGGAAGAAATGGGGTAGATGTGAAATATGTATATTGATGTAATATGTGAAATAATGTGTATTGAGAATACACTTACCAGCCGCGTTTGTCTTTTTAGCTGAGTAGCCAGTCGCATAAGCTCACGGTTCTTTTTTGTCAAGCATTCATGAACAAATATCTTTTCATCAGAATCAATTCCAATATTGCGGCGAGTTAATGCCTTTCGGCTAGATTTGAGAAATCGAGCAACTGCTACGAACAAACGAGAGCGATCATAAGCTGAATTTAGCTTTACAATGATTGGAGAGGGGTTTGTGTTGTTGGCGCTTTTGCTACTGAGACGCATACTAAAAGTAGAGCGAATTGGAAGTGGATGTAGGTTGATCGACTCACATAGTTGAGTAAACAACGAAGTTAAATTTTCTTCGGCTACCTGCGGAACATTATACATAATTGCGTCCGCTGACACCAGTGCATTTTCCACCTCATCCAAGTGTTGACTCAACTTATTCATGTCACTGCTTTCATCTGCATTTAGCGTACTCACTCTCTCCTCCATAGTTTTCATAGCTACATAGTTTAAAGTTAGTTAGTTCAGCCGATACTTCACCCATTTTTTGCATTACTCGCTCTTCACTTTCTTTTATATTTGCCAGTATGTTTGCCATGTACGCTTCTAACTTTGCTTCAAGCCTCTCAAATGAACTTGCCGTTGTAGGACTGCTTACTCCTCTGACTTGCAGGTTTTGGGCGGGAAATTGCAGGGGAGAGGGAATATTGCGCGCACTCTTTCTCTGGCCCGACATATTTGTGTTCACTCAAAATTCGAATGACGAATACCGAGAAAATTATGCAAAAGTAAACAAATATCAGCTGCAGCCGTGGTGTTGTGCGGACAAAAGTTTTACCAGATATGGTTAAGAACTTTATTAAAAGCCGGTAATTACGTTAATACGCGTGATATAATGCAGCGCCACAAAAAACACGTCCACTCACAGTGACATTATTTATTAGTATCAGAGAATTTTTCTGCAGCAAATGACATTTAAGGACCCCGTAGACTAACATTCATGAATGCTTTACATGACTCATGTTGTCTCAAGTTTCTTTTGTTTGCTCCTATGTATTATATATCTTATTTGCCAAAGCATTAAAAAAACTTTATTTAAATTTCCTTTCCATGTAGGCGAGAGAGCAAATATATACATAAATAAAAAGGAAAGTGGTGAAAAATATTCTCAAGAATATGAATGATCCATCCAGTCTAAATTAAACCGGTGCGATTGACCATCGATAGTGACGCAAAACCATCGATAGTTCTGGAAAATAAAAACCATCGATACTATCGATAGTACCATCGATAGTTTTGCAGCTCTACTAGCGTGTCTCAGTCCTTTGCCACAAAAGCGGCTATAACTTTTTTTTCTATTCAAAACAGTAAGAGTGCCACCTTTCTGAAATCCTTATTAAATGAGCAATTTTTTTATGTAATGTAAAGTTAGAGCTCAGTACACTTTTTTCACCAGAGATAGTCAAAGTTGGGGAAGAAAATATCAAAAAGTTAAAAATCCCAAAATAGTCCTAATTTGATGATGGTTCCTTAATATATTTTAACTACATTGCATTTGAGTATGGAGAAGCAATTATCTGGAAGTATTTTACATAAAAAATTTACTAAGTATAGCCTGGTTTGTAGATGCAGTTAAAGAAAATACATGAAAAGGCACGATTTTTTTTTTTAATTCAAAAAAATGTAAATATTTCAAAAACGGTGACACTTTTACCTGAAAATTTTTTGTTTATCAGGGAGCTCACTCTCCCCCCCCCAAACTGCCAAACTTTAGGGGAAGGTAGGTGTGGTAGGGTGAGCTCCCTGATAAACAAAAAATGTTCAGGTAAAAGTGTCCCCGCTTTTGAAGTATTTACATTTTTTTTATTTAAAAAAATCGTGCTCTTTCATGTATTTTCTTTAACTGCATCTACAAACCAGGCTATACTTAGTAAATTTTTTATGTAAAATACTTCCAGACAGTTGCTTATCTATACTCAAATGCAATGTAGTTAAAATATATTAAGGAACCATCATAAAATTAGGACTATTTTGGGATTTTTACTTTTTGATATTTTCTTCCCCAACTTTCACTATCTCTGGTGAAAAAAAAATGTACTGAGCTATAGCTTTACATTACATAAAAAAATTGCCAATTTAATAAAGATTTCAGAAAGGAGCCACTCTTACTGTTTTTCGGATATCGAAAAAACGAAGGGCTTCGGAGAAAGTCGACATATCGAGGCCTAACCGCAAAAAATTTAAGATTTTTTTTCAAAACTTACTTCTTGATGCAGAAATACTCTAGGACCTAGAGTCTAGGTGAACAAAAATCTGACAGAGAGTCCCTATTTAGAAAATGAAAGCAAATTTTTGCCGAAATGCCGATTAAGGATAAGAAGATCGGCGCAAAGTTTAATGCTTCGGTTCTGAAGCGCCCCGCAAATGAGAAATTGGTAATTTAATTATAATTGTGGCGTATGTTTGGACTTTAGGGTGTATGTCAAGAATTTATTTACACTTTTAGCGGTGATAGCAGTAAATAAATATCACATTCGCTATAAAAAATTTCGAATTATGGACCGTTCCATGCGTTCTTCAAGTTGTCAAGTCAACTCCCCACAGGTGCAAAGAGCGCTAATGCATCAAAATTTAATTTTGAACAAAAATCGTTTGCGGTACATGCGGTTTGAAGGAAACATGAGACCGTCAAATTTTCGTTTGTTTGTTTAATTCTCTGAACCGCCCCTGTTGTGATATGGCACTTCATTCTAAATATGGAGTAGTTTACAAATATACACGTATACTTCTACAATCACAAAAATTTTCGTGTCTTTCTTTGATTTCGAATCGAAAACATTCCAGTAGCGAAAATGGTCACCGGTGACATCGTCATTAATGAGGATTTAGTGACATCGTCGCACTTGCTGTGAATCCTAAACGACATATAGCTGACAATGACACTGGTGACAATGTCATGCAGGTGTACTCCTATCAAAGACTTATAACAGACAATGTCTTGCAGCGCTTACTTATAAAAAGTCCATTGCGAGATACTGTCGCTTGAATGTCATTAATGATCACTGCATGACCAAGTCATGCAGATGACATCAACGACGAAATTACCATTTATTACAAACGGAGCCCAAAGTCATTTAAGACGTAACTTTTCCGTATAATACGGTAGACAGATTGATGGGATTATTTGCATTAGCAGCATTTATTTGCTTTAACTCGTGAATAATCCTCTCACAAATGCGCATTGGCTCGATGGAAATGCACGAAATAAATGAGCATTTATACTGGATTTTCCAATTTGCATTTGGCAACGCTGTCCAAAATTGGCATATATTTTCTATTGTGAATGGTGACTGTGGTTGACAGCACGGAAATAATTAAAAGAGAATCCGAAAACAAGCATATCAGAAGTAAGTTATTTTAAAAAATTTGTTAAAAATAAATGAAATATATTAAAAAAATGAATTATATCTAATTTCAGATGGCCAGCGATAAAAAACGCAGTACTTGGAGCACCAGCGACGAGAAAGTGCTATTGGATTTATGGGCGGAACGTGCGGATGACTTGCGACGGGCGAAGCGCAATCTGCATATATATGCGGATATATCGACACAGATGGCGTCAAAGTTTAGTGCAAAGGAGGTCCACATAAAAATCAGAAACATGACCCAAAGATATAGGTAAGTCATTTTCTATTTAACCATTCTGAACACTAATTGCAAATGTACTCAAAATTTCAGAGAAGAAAAGAAAAAGGTAGGACCATCTGGTGGGAGTCCCTCGCTGTGGAAACATTTTGACGCAGTCCACCAAATCATCGGTTTCAACGCAGCAAACAACGCTGAGATTTTAGAATCTTTTTCAATGGTAAAATTTCAGTTTCACACATAAATATATATGTAAATATATTTTTGTAAAACTTTAAAAATACATAAAACTTCTTAATTTTAGGATATATTGACATCAGGACCGCAGCCGGTGCCATCACCATCGAGTTTAGCGTCCCCATCCCCAGTGCCTCAGTCGTATCCATACGCTGCTGCTGCACCGTCATCAACCGCAGCACATCCATCGTCACCAACCGCTGTACCTTCACCGTCACCATCGCCTCAAACTTCGTCACCGCTTTCGTCGCCGGTGGAGTTGTCCAGTTCTTCGCCACTTGACACTTCGAACATATCTTCGACTGCAGCTTCCACATCCTCTAAAAGGAAAAGAAATTATATGGGTGAGGTGGTGCAATTAGCTAAAGAGCAAAACGAGCTGTTAAAAGTGGTCATAGACGACGGAAAAGTTTTAACAGCAGAATGCGTTAATGCTATTAAAGAGCAAAGTAGTGCTACAAAAGAATTCATTAGTTTAATGAAAAGCGTTTTGGAAAAACTGTAACTTTAAGTAGTATACATATGTATGTTTTAACACCCATGAACAAAAAAAAATGGGTGTGCGGCATTTTGATAAATTTTGTTTGTATTTGGCTTTTGTTTATTTAATGTTTATTAACATTTTACAAAATTCTAGCGTATTATATAACAAAGAGCATATGTAAAATTCCACATTTCAAAGTTTCGAATTCATAAAAACTGTTTTAGTAATATATTTAGACAAGTTTTTGGTATGCAGTTTTTTAAACCATTAAATTCTAGTATATTAAGTGCATCTTTAAGTAGCTGAGGATTCGAGCTGATTTTTAATAAATCTTTCTGCTGACCATATAAGGAAAATGTTTTCGCATACTCTATATGCGTAGAGCCATCAGCAAAAAAAATTATTAAAAATCAATGCGAATTCTCAGCCGCCCTGAAGATACACTTAATACACTAAAATTTAATGATTTAGAAAACTGCATACCAAAAAATTGTCTAAATATTCTGCTAAAAAAGTTTTATAAATTTTTCTAGATTTTGTACAAGCTTTGAAGTGTGGAATTTTACTTATGTTGTTTGTTGTATAAAACGCTAGAATTTTATAAAAAGTTAATAAACATTAAATAAAAAAAATCCAAATACTACCAAAATTTATCAAAATGCCGCAAAAAGTAGAATAAAAATTGATTTAATTTTGGTTTTAATCTAATTTTAGGCACATATATATGTATTTATGTAAGCAAAAGTTAATTGGAATAGAAAATAACTGAAAAGGAAATGAATTTAAATAAAAATAACTACTGCGAGCAGCAAAATAGAGTCTTTTTACTTACGAAAACTCATAGCAATGGCATTCCTTATAGCCGCTGCTGTTAGGTCATTTTCACCAACTCTTGTTGTGTGATTAGGTTGATTCCTTGCTGATCCGTATTCTGCTGCATCCTGCATCCAGACGGAAGAAACTTCATCGTTCTCAAGTTTTAAAAAATTGTGTAAAATACAGCAGGCCTGTATTATAACGTTAACAGTTTTAGGTGCTACTTGTAAGCCTCTCCCTATTTTTCGGAAACGAGCCTTCAGCTGGCCGAAAGCATTTTCGATCACACGCCGACATTTGGACAGTCGATAGTTAAAGAGTTTTTCAGCAGCTGGTTGGTTAGCTACATATGGATATGGTTTCATCATGTGGCGCGATAACCGAAAGGCCGAATCGCCCATAAGTAGCACAGGTATATTGAATCCGCCAATAAGCTCGCTATTTTGTACGAAAATGTCTGCGCTTTCATGAAATTGTTTTAATGAACTTTTTTCAAATATGTAAGAGTCATTATTTCTTCCAGTAGATCCAATGTTAATATACGTAAATTTTGACCAGTAAGTCCAAATAATTTAAAAATATACATATGCATGCGATACAGTGCAGCCATAAATTTACATACCTGTGATCACAGCTTGCCAATAAAACCACGGAATACCATCCTTTGTAATTGTGGTAATCTACGGCATCCTCCTTTCTTGGCTGCACTTCAATGTGACATCCATCTACAGCTCCAAAGCATTGCGGAAACCCTAGGACTGCGAAACCGTCTACGATTCTTTTGATTTCTTGTTGATTTGGAGGGTATGTATTAATGCAATCCGCAAAATTATCGCAAACTGAGTGGCAAAAATCCAGAACAATTTCACCAACAGTACTTCGGCCAACTCCAAATAAACTAGAAACGGTTCTATACTCTGCTGCAGAACCCAATGAGAAAAGTGCGATAGCCACCCTCTTTTCGAGTGGAATACAACGCCTCAGGTTGCTATCAATTTTCTCCATGTTTCGTACTTTTTCGCACACTTTTTGAAAAGCCCTCCTATCGAGATGAAAGTTTTCTCTGAATCTTGCGTCGTCCATTGCACGGACATCGTGCTCCCAAAATCTGCTACTGCGGTCCTTTAGGGATACAACTAATGGTTAAAATCTTTATAAAAGAACATTTTTACTTACGAATTTCCAGATCCGCCGTACGTCGAACTGGGCATTTGCAATCCTTGCTCGTAGGATCGCGTGATTGCTCAAAATAGAATTTATTTGCGCCCTATTATTTATTAATTTAAGTAATAGTAACTGAATTTTTTCACAAAATAAAACTTGATTTTTTACGAACAGAATAGCTGTCAATAACAAAATTTTTCTTCTATCCATTTTCACTTGGCGATTACAGGAAACAAAATTCTTCGATATCAGCTGTTTAAATGCACAAGGTTGCCGTCTGTCAGGGTGAAATTTCAATTTGCATTTGTGCTCCTTAATTCAAATTAATTTTGTTCATCTGTCTACCATATAAGACTCTTAAGTGACTAATGCATGACATTCGCTACGGGGATATTGTGATCATATTGTACGGGCAATATAGGAGTATTACATATATGGAAACAAATCAAACACATGAACCGTTTTGGTATGGAACGTCCCATATTTAGGTTGTTGCCCTATAACTCGGAAATACTTCTTTGAATAATGATTTAATTACTAATTAATAATTAAATACGCTCAACTCGGGTAAAATTTCCTTTTAGCTACTTAACCAACCCTGCTGGTTGTTGGCAAGAAACATGTGATTAGTTTAACGGGATTTAGACACAAAAAACAATAGAAATTAGTAATTATGCGAGGTATTTGCGTAATATATATACTTATTTAAAATATAAATCATGTATATACGAAAACAAAAATTTCCCTCCATTTTCCCATTAATAATTTACAGTAGAGCAGTTTTTTCACTTAACAACACTACTCTTCAGGTCGCGTTTTTTTTTAACCGACCTGGGTGAACTCGGATAAATAGCCGAGTTTGTGTTGTTGCTTTGCGTGTATTTCGTCATTTAAGCGAGTGTTCTTTTGTAGCTCGGTTGCAAAATAATGGACCTACTATTAAATTTGATTATATAAATACAAGAAAAAATTAAAAATTTTGAACTAGATTTTTAAATTGAATCTTCTATAATCGAAATCCGGAAATACGGCCGGGTTTCAGCAAATATCCGGTCGGTAAGAGAAAAACGGATTCCACATCCCTAAAAAATACCTTTATTCCTGCGCCACCTAAAAACTTTTTTGGAGTTATTCCTTTTCATGTTAGTATACATTCCAAATATGAATATGGGACCATAAATACGTGGTTTTCTAATATCTCGACACTTGCGCCACCTAGCAGATTAATTCATCTTTCATATTGCATTGTCATCTGGTTCTGAGCTAAGTTTGAAGTTTCATCTCTGCAGCACATCATGAAGTTGGGAAAAAATTTATTGCAAGATTTGATTACAACAGGTGAAACATAATAAGAGCTTATAAAACCGGAACTTTAGCAACGAGAAATATGAATAAAAATATATTCTCGCAGTTTCCAATTCATTTAATTCGTATAATTTTCGCATGAATTTGATATCATAAGTATCAGTGTTATAAAGTATCGAGTACTTCTGAGCATCGAGTTCTTTCGTATCGATACTTTTAAAGATCGGGTATTTTTGAGAGTACTGAGTTAATCCCAAATTACGGATATGATTGGCTAACTAAAGAGGTTACAAGTATTGTACTTGAAAATTATTGAACTTTGAAATTGAGTACAATCATTTCTGAATACCGGTAAATGCAAATAGAATTCAGTACTTTTAAGTATCTATTCGACACTTAGTACTGAGTACTTTGAATCGAGCCTGAGTACTTGTATCAAAGTTATGATTGGAACAGATTATTTTTATACCCGAGCGCACTTGTGCACAAGGGTATATTAATTTTGTTCACATAACGGTTGTTTGTAACAGCCAAAACAAATCGAGATAGATATAGATATAGATAAATGTATACATAAATGCTCAGAATGAATAGAGAAATCGATTAAGCCATGTCTGTCTGTCCGTCCGTCTGTGTACACGATAACTCGAGCGAAATTTGGTATGTAGGTTTCTGGTAATCCAAGGTAGGTTGGTATTGAAAATGGGCGAAATCGGGCAGTAAGCACGCCCACTTCCCATATAACGGTATTTTATAGAAATACGAAAACTGCGATATTTTAGTAACTACTGAAGATAATTCACCCAAAATTGATATTTACAATAATTTTCAGACCAATTTGTTCCAAACTTGGCACAGTTATTTGCCATGATACAGCATACTAAATGGCCGAAAATTTTACAAATCGGACAATAACCACGCCCACATGCCATATAACGGTAATTTTCGGAAATACGAAAACTGCGATATTTTAGTAACTCCTGAAGATTATTCACTCAAAATTGATATTTACAACAATTTTTGTTCGAAAAATAAGAATATTATAAATTTTTGGAAAATGGGCATAGCCACGCCTACTTATGGTTACATGTGTATATATTTGTAACCGCTGCACCAATTTCTTCCAAACTTCCCAGCAAAAAATCGGTAATCGCTTTTAGTGGTAACGTGTTCTTGAAGGCATAGCGTTATAATGACTTCGAATTTTTTCGCTCCTTTTAGGCATTGCCGGTAATGCAAAGTAGAATGCTCTATAATATTTTATTTATTTCGCTTCTTTGTTTCATTTCGGGGAATGCAAAGTAGAATGTCCTATAATATTTCTTTTTTCATTCGCTTTTTTGCTTCATTTCGGGGAATGCAAAGTAGAATGTCCTACAATATTTTATTTGTTTCGCTTCTTTGCTTCATTTCAGGGAATGCAAAGTAGAATGCCCTACAATATTTTTTTTTATTTCGCTTCTTTGCTTCATTTCAGGGAATGCAAAGTAGAATGTTCTACAATATTTTTTTTTATTTCACTCCTTTGCTTCATTTCGGAGAATGCAAAGTAGAATGCTGCATCGTAGTCAGATGAAAAAGAGAATGACTATCCAAAAATTCTTTCTCTACCGTTACTTTCTGTGGAAATTTGTCTCGCATAAAAATCATGTTTTGCTTTGTTCAATTTGCAGCGAAGTTGAAGTCAGTCAATGAAGTGAAGTACAAGAGTGAGGAAGCACAATTTTAAGCTTAATTAAATATGCATGTATGTACATACCGATTTTTAAGTAAAATCTAAATACCTAAATACATACATATGTATGTATAAAAACTGATTTATAAAAATTTTAATTAATTTTAATCTTTTAAGACATTTTCTGATTTCCATTTAATGTAAATAAGTATTTACTTATCTAGGCATTCTACATTTGTTTCTCTGTGAGGCATTCTT